TGTTTTATCTCCTTAAAATCCTTTTTTGCCGATACTGACTTTGAATAATTTTTTTGTGCCAGATAAATTGATGTATTTTCTAGATGCGATTCGTAGTTTCAATTTGAACCTGACTTTTTTTTTGAATCTCTGAAGGCACAAGAGTAATGTTTAAATATTGCCCAATCTTTAGATGGAATCACAGAAAGAACCGAGTTGGAAGGGACCCACGAGGACCATCAAGTCCAACCTTTAGCCCTGCACAGGACTATCCCCAGGAGTCACACCATTTGATCTTCCAATGGAAACTGGAGGAACACATAGGCCTACGGGAATGCCAAGGAGGGTTGTGTCTTCCTTGAATAGTGGTTTCAGACAGGCGACATTACATGTGTCATAAGAAATGACATAAAGCTCTTTTATTTGGGCAACTGATTGAAACCAAAGTTGTCAAAGAATTGCTCTCCAGACTCCTTTAACTGTATATACTAACTCTTCAGTGATTACAGTTGGGCCTTATATTGTGAACTTGCATGGAGAAACAGACTTACAGGCGTATCACGCTTCAAAAGTCCTTCCCAGGCTGGAGCATGATATTATAGTGTTGACACTGAGTGGGTCTGAATTTTACCTTTAGTGATTCATATTAAAATATTTTCTAAGAAAATTTATCATTTAGCATGAGAGTTACGTACTGTGAGAACACCTGGAAGAAACACAAGTAATACTTACAGATTGCACTTGGAGCTGCAGATCATTTTTTTCTTGCATTAGAGAAGCCATTTTCTCCTCCAGCTCCTTCCGCTTTGCCTCAGACTTCGCAAGCTCTTCCTTGGTTTTCTCAAACTCTCCCTTCATGTTGGCCATCTCCTTCTCAGACTCTGCACTCTTCAACAAGGGCTTGATCTTGAAGAACAGCTTCATCCAGGGCCAGTGTTTGACGTTCATGAAGGAACGAACGTTGTACTGGATGCAGAAGATGGACTCCCTGGAGCATAATTCATGTGTACAATGAATATTTTCAGTCTGAAGAGTGTCAACACTTTCCCCCAAGCACAGTGGCTTTTACTGAGGATGAGGAATGTGTACCTTCTCTCCACCATTCTCCGGTACTCCACCCTCATCAGGTAACCCCTGCACACAGCCTGTGTGCGGGTGATGAGCTGTGCCAGCTTCTCATCCCTCATCTCCTCCAGGAGCCCCAGCAGCCCAGCTTTGAAGAACACCTTGGAGAGGGAATGTTGCAGCACACCACTGTCAGGCAGGGCAAAGCAGGCCCAGAGGGAGTGAGGGAGTGGGGGTTTGTACCTTGGTGTGTCCAAATTTGTACTGGGTGTGGTCCACATC